AATATAGAAAATCGGGATAATGATTTTTAACTCAGTAGCATGAGGCAAGTAACCAATTCTTTCGTTTATAGGAAATTTTCAAATTCTTTTTCATCATTTATACATTTATCTCAGACCAGGGAGAACAAATATCAACATCTATGAATCTCAAGGCAAGCAATAAGAGCATGCGCACATCATGCTGAGGTCGTACGACCCGATCCAACAATATTTAAACTGTGCACTGCCAGAGGGTCGAATGGCGCAAACCATAGATGCATCTATTTAATCTACCGAGGCGTTCGGACCGTTCCACAATATATAAACACATTCAAACAGTCAAGCAAGAACTCATCAAGGAGCAAATTATCCAAGAAAATGCAATTTCTCTTTTTAAAAAAATCAAGGAACAATGACTAGTCTTTTAGAAATCATTTACACGTTCGATATGTTTTAAGCATTTTTAAATTGACAACAAGATTTCAAATATTGCAAGTAAAGCATGCTTTTGGGTCCTAAACTACCCGGACTTAAGCATAAAAGTAGCTACGCACGGACTCTCGTCACCTCGTACGTACGTATCCCCCACAAATAGAAGCAAATATCCAATTAATTCACCTATGGGGACAATTCCCTCTTACAAGGTTAGAAATAAGACTCACCTCGCTCCGAAGTTCCATCACCAGCATTCCAGGCCCTTCTGAAGACTCAAATTGATGCACAACATTCCAAAACTAACCAATGATTATGTAAACCCATTAATACATGTTCAATTACTCATAATAATCCAATTTACAACAATTTCTAACCCCGATCGAAAGGTTGATAAATACACCCTCGGGACCACATGCCCGGATCCCGAGATTTTTCGAAGATAAAGTTTACCCATAACCTCACGAACTCAAATATGCAATTTACTCTTAATTTCATGCCCAAAATCGTGGTCAAAATCCAAAAATACCAATTTTCTAGGTTTTCCTCAAACCCCTAAATTTCTACCAATTTTCATGCTAAAATCCATACATAATCATTATATTTAACTCAAGATAGGTGGGGTTAGCTTACCTTGTCGTTGATGATGAAAAACCCCCACTTGAAGCTCTCCAAAAATCGTCCAAACACGAGAAAGATGAAAGAATATGGCCAAATCCCGACTTTAAAACAACTCACTGCCTCCAGCTTTTCCGCACCTGCGGTTACTAGACCGCTTCTGCGGTTTCGCAGGTGCGGCCCCACCACCGCATCTGCAGTCCTCCACTAGACTCTCTCCTTCCTCTTCTGCGCTTCTCCTTCCGCAAGTGCGTTCCCGCTTCTGCGGCAACATGACCGCATCTAAGGTCCCAGCCTTCTCCCTTCACAACCGCATCTGCGCCTCTTTGGCCGCTTCTGCGGCTCCGCACCTGCGGCCAAGATCTCGCAGGTGCGGTTACACCAGATGACAGCAAGCTTCAGCCCTTTCTCCCAACTCCAATTCGATTCGTTAACCACCTGGAATCCACCCGAGGCCCCCAGGACCCCATCTAATCATACCACCCTGTCCCAAAACACATTATGGACTTGTTCGAGGCCTCAAATCATATCAAACAACGCTAACATCATGAATCGACCTCCAATCCAAGCTTAATGAACTTTAGAATTTCAAACATCTACATTCGATGCCGAAACCTATCAAATCTCGTCCTATTGACCTCAAATTTTGCACACTAGTCATATTTGACATTACGAGCCTACTCCAACTTCCGAAATCGGAATCAGACCCTGATATCAAAAAGTTCACTTTCGGTCAAACTTCTCAAAACCCTCAAATTTCTATCTTTAGCCAAATGACTCCAAAATGACCTAAGGACCTCCGAATTCACTTCCGAGCGCGCTCCCAATACCAGAATCACCATACGGAGCTATTCCTAGACTCGGAATCCCAAACGAACATCGATAGCATTGAAATGCACTTCAACCCAAATTTATGAAATTCTTCCAAAAATGCTAACTTCCATGATAGGTGCCAAAATGCTCTTGGGCCGCCCAAAACCCGATTAGGGCATACGCCCAAGTCCGAAATCATCACACGAACCTGCTGGAACCTTCAAATCCCGATTCCGAGGTCGTTTACTCGAAAATCCAATCTTAGTCAATTCTTTCAACTTAAAGCTTCTGAAATGAGAATTCTCTTTCCAAATGAGCTCCAAACTTCCCGAAATTCAATTACGACCATGCGTACAAGTCATAATACCTGAAGTGAAACTGCTCATGGCCTCAAACTGCTGAACGACGTACTAGAGCTCAAAACGACCGGTCGGGTCGTTACATATGTTATTGCATTTACAAGATTTAAGTTTACATTATTACAAATAAATGTTATTTACCTCCCATTTATTAGACGTTGAAATTGATGGACTTCATTTTTTATTTTCAAGATATTTAATATCCAACGTGGGAATATAATTACAAAATTATAGCATATTTAAACGATCGCGCGAAGCGCGATCAAGTTCCCTAGTATTATACAAATTTTAGAAAATATGTACATGAAATATCTAATTTTACAGAGAGACCATGGTTCACGTGCCCCATAATTAAGTCTATCCGCCCCTAACAATGTAAAGTAAAAAGATAGAATTCTAAGATATTCTTATATTATAATCTTTGTATTTAAGTTGAAAGAGGTATCAATGAGATCAGCTTCCAAATTTTTTTATATTCAACATAGACAAAACATATTCGTTGCTATCTCTTATCCCCCTGCTTTTTAAATTCCCCATACATTTGTCTATATTTTGATTTTTTATATTATTTTTTATTTAATTCTTTCTTTTGTTAATAAAATCAATTTATTTCGACTATAATAGAATGAGTTTTAATAGAAATTGCCTACATGAAAATTTTATTTGTATTTTTAATGTTTTGGTTGAAATTCTTTCATATTTTTTTTTAGCTTTATCGAATTAACCTAAGTAGGTGCTCACCCTACTNCACACACACAGTGTGTGTGTGTGTGTGTGTGTGTGTGAGTGTGAGATTAGTGTATCATCTATGTATATCAGATATAAAAGATAAACAGTATATTCTAACGTGTATTTTATGTAAAGATTCCTTAAGATTTGAGTGACCTGATTTTATCCACGATATGACTTCTCTTATAATAATTCAAAAAATCTTTACTATAATTTAGAAATGTCTTATCCTTTTATTTTTAAAATGGCACTATATTTTTAGAAAACATCTCATTTCAAAATAACTTCTTTTACATTTTCTTAAAAAATATTTCACGTCATACAGATAATTTTTTAAAATTAAACTGTTTGTTACACTTGAAAATTAATTAGAATACCGTTAATTAGAAAACAATATCTTTCATTGAAATTCGAGAAGAAAACCCTTTCATATAATCTAATGACTCAAAAATTAAGATTCTTCAACGAAAACAAAGAAAAAGTTTGAACTCAAAATTAATGTTCTCGAAATTAATAGCTTTACGGTTAAATTTTAAATTTGAAGGGCTTTATCTATTTTTATTAATTATTTATTCAAATAGAGTAACCAATTAATTCAAAATTTAAAATTCATAAGTTTTTTTTAGTTAGAAAGGTAGTTTGTTTTGTCTTGACAATGCTACTTAGCTTTTTTGCGATTATGTCACTTGTCTTAATATGGTGCTTCTGCTTTTCATTTTGTTATATATAGATAGATAATTACACCGAACTTGATGGTACATATATTACATTTACACATCAAAATTGGCATGGACCATGAAGCTTATGCTTGGCCATAAATAATAGTATTTCATTGTTCCCATAAACTTATTTAAGAAGTATTTTAAGTAATAAAATATAGTACTAATTTACTCAAAATTTTTAATTTATTTTCGAGTAAAATCCAGGTTCAAATATAATTTCAATTTAAATACTCCTTTTTAACTTCAATTTCAAATAGTAGTTCAATCTTTACAATTGGAAAAACAAGTACCATTGAACTAGTCTTAAATTTTCAGTTATCAAACTTATATTTTGAATCCTATTATCCCTTTAAATTTCTGAAGCGAAATAAACACAAGCTATTGGCACGAGTCACTATTTAAAGAGTGTGACAACCACGCAAGAAAATTAAATTTTATATATACAGCATTTTCTTTTACTAAACACATGTTGCTTTTTTATTTTATTTTATTATTCTTTTTCTCTTTTTTTTTTCGTTTCCTAATAACTCTTCTCACTGAAAAACTTTGTTGAGAGGAATTCTCAAGAAGACATCCTCAAAACTTAAATTGTTCAAGTGACTTCCTATTTGTTTTCTCAATTTCTTTTTGGGTTGGAAATTGGCTAAATGAGTGGGTTAAGGTAGATGGGCCTTTTTAATATTTTCAAAACTTATGGGTCACCTATAAGGTTTGAAAAATAAGCTTTCTTTCTAATTTTTCTGCCATTTTCTCTCTCATCTCTCTACTCTCTCTTCTCTCTCTCACTCAACCCTTGAGCATGGTGGTTTCCGGCAGGAAGTGACAAGAATCAATCTTCGATTTTGGGTGGAATCATCTCTATAGGCCTAACAAGCACTGTATTGTTGCTCAAAACGTATCAATTTTGGTAAATCCTAAATTCTCTTTTTTTTCCGTTTCTTACAATTGTGATTTGGGGTTTTGTAGAGTGATTCGTCCACGTGCATGTTCAAGATCAATGGGTTGTGTATAACGATATCTTATATGGCACATGTGGTTGTATTTGCTTCTTGGACTACCTCTGTGCTCTGTATTTTAGAATATCGTCGGACTGATGACCGAATATTTATTGATAAACTTGTGGTCGATTGTCTTCTGGGCATAGATGTTTGTTGGAATTGGGGCTTATTCTGATATTTCTTAAGCATGATACGAGGAAAAAGAACAAAGAGCCATCAAAGTCTAACGGTAAAAAAAAGAACAAGATCAAGGTCTAGATTAGTTGAGGATAACATACGTGTTAGTAAAAAAAATTCAAGGAGCTTAGCACTAGAGGCGCTGATGAGGAGGAGTAAGAAGACTTGGACATATGCACAAATTCAAATGGAAGAACAGGTTTCCAAAAACAATTGTCGAAGAAGAAAAGGATAGTGATGATGGAGCTTTAGGTGGGGAGGATGATGAAAATAGTGATGATGTTGCTCAGGAGGTTGATAAAAATGCCGAAGAAGAAGAAGAAGCAGAAGAAGATGATAAAGAAGATGATAATGAAGATGATGAACATCTTGAAGATGGTGAACATGGGTTGAAAAGTGAAACACATGCAACAGTTGGAGGTGACCAGGATGCTCTGCCAATTCATGTGTTTATAAGGGCGAACGACGCATCTAAATACAAATTATGGACTTTTCTAAGAAAGCATAGACGTTTCTCAGCTGTCACGACCCTAACCCCCCGGTCGTAATGGCGCCTCTCGTGAAGACAAGGCCAGCCAGATTAATACAATACACCTTTTAACATAATTAATGATCGTAAAACATTTTAAAGTATGATTAAATAGTAATAAATTCGCGGAAACATAGATAACAATAAGGGGAAACCATCCCGACACAGCCCAAACCGGGGTGTCACCAGTCACGAGCGTCTAGGATAACAAATCTCTCAAAAATAACTACAGAGTCTCAATACTGAAATGGAAAGTAAAGATATAGATAGAGAGGAGCTCCAGACTGCGAACGCCAGCAGCTACCTAAAGTCTCCTCGAAGAATCCGCCTGAGCTGGGACGAGTACACACTCGGGAGCGGGATCTGCTATGCCTGAATCTGCACACACGGTGCAGGGAGTAATGTGAGTACTCCGACCCAGTGAGTAATAAGCATAAATAACGGCTGAGAATAAGGAATCACGTGAACACAAGGTAATCTATATTGCCACAGTTAAACAAGTAAATATAAATCAGTAACCCAATGAAAACAGAATGAAATACCTCTACAACAGTTAAGCAATTAATGCACAGACAGATAAAGAAAGTAAACACATAGAACAGTACCAGCCCCCGGGCTCTCTCTCTCTCTCAGAACAATATCAGCCCCTCAGGCTCACTCTCAGATCACAATGGGTACCCGCGCTCACTGGGGTGTGCAGACTCCGGAGGGGCCCCTTATGGCCCAAGCGCTATATCAAGCCATCTCATGGCATCAAATCCAGGCTCTCGGCCTCATAACAGTATCAGTGTATCCTTACATCTGGCCCTCGGCCATACTCAGTCCAAAGATCACATAAGCCCCTCGGGCATCAGTAAAATAGTAATTCTCAGCCCAAACATCATTTAAAATATCTTTTAAGTCTCAAAACTGAGTAAAAGTGGCTGAGTGATAAAACAGTGAAAAACATCACGACTGAGTTTAAGTAATAAGTCAAACCAATGAGGAAATAGTGATAAAAATCCCCGAAGGGTTCAGATAATTGGCAAGAAGCCCAAATATGACGATCAATCCAAATCATGATAATAACAAGTAAGTTTCAGTCAAATAAGCAGTAAATTTATCAATCGGGACGGACCAAGTCACAAATCCCTAACGGTGCTCTACCCCCGCTCGCTATCCGGCATGCAAGTCACTTCAATATAGCACTACGATGTGCAATCTGGGGTTTCAAACCCTCAGGACGTCATTTACAATCATTACTCACCTCGAACCGGCTAAATCTCTAGCTCGCGACGCCCTTGCCCCTCGAATCGGCCTCCGCGCGCGTCGAATCTATCCAAAATCAGAACGAATACGTCACAATATGCTAAGGAAACAAAGCCCAAGCGAAAACAATAGAAAAATATCGAAAATCCCGAAATTAGCAAAACCCGAGCCCCGAGCCCACTTCTCGAAACTCAGAAATTTTTGCATCAACGGGTTCCTTATCTCCTCATGAGCTTATACATACCAAAAGCTCTCAAATCCGACCTCAAATGGTCCTTCAAATCCCTAAATCAAATTTCAAAATCCCAAGCCCTAGTTTCTTCCATTTTAGCTTAAGTTCCATGAATTTCTAGGTAGATTTCACAATAAAATCACGTTTTAGGTTAAAAAATCTTACCTCCAATCAATTCTCCTTGAATCCCTCTTTAATCACCTTCAAAAAGCTCTCAAAATGCTCAGCTATGGAGGAAAAATGACTAAAAATCGCGGATGACATGTTTATAAACTTTCTGCCCAGTTCAGATATTTCTTCTATGCGATTGCGGAAAAACCTTCGCGATCGCGAAGCACAAAAATTCAACCCCCAATTTTTACCCTATGCGATCGCATACAAACACCTACGATCGCAATGCATACGCTCCTGACCTTATGTGATCGCGGACTTACTCCCGCGTTCGCATTGAACAATTTCCATCCAAGCCCCCAGGTCCATTTAACACTATGCGACCGCGACCCATTATCCGCGTTCGCGATGAACAACCAAACAGCTCCCACAAATCCTCCTATGCGATCGCAGGACCCCTCATGCGATCGCAGTGAACAAGGTTCTGTAACACTGAACCTGCCTGCAACTTCTCAAAGCCAAAAATGGTCCGATTGACCATCCGAAACTCACCCGAGGCCCCCGGACCTCAACCAAAAGCACCAACACATCCTAAAACCTCATTCAAACTTGCTCCAATCATCAAAACACCTCAAACAACATCAAGTTACCCAAAATTCATAGAATTCAAGCCTAAGTTTTCTAAAAACTTCCGGAATACGCTTTCGATCAAAAACCCAACCAAACCACATCCGAATGACCTGAAATTTTGCACACACATACCAAATGACATAACGAAGCTACAGAAACTCTCGGAATTCCATTCCGATCCTCGAATCAAATTCTCACCTATCAACCGAAATTCGCCAAAATACTAACTTCGCCAATTCAAGCCTAATTCTATACCGGACCTCCAAAACGAGTTCCGATCACGCTCCTAAGTCACAAATCACCTCCCGAAGCTAACCGAACCATCGGAATTCACATCCGAGCCCTCTAACACATAAGTCAACATCCGGTTGACTTTTCCAACTTAAACCTTCTTAAAAGAGACTAAGTGTCTCATTTCTTACCAAATCCACTCCGAACGCAAACTAATCAACTTGATCACATAAAACACGGATAACGAAGCATAAGGTAGCAGAAATGGGGAATCAGAGCGGTAACTCATGAGACGACTGGCCGGGTCGTCACATCCTCCCCAACTTAAACAAACGTTCGTCCTCGAACGAGTCAAGAAACATACCTGAAGCCTCAAATAGGTGAGGATATCTGCTCCGCATCTCCCGCTCGGTCTCCCAGGTAGCCTCCTCCACGGGCCGACCTCTCCACTGCACTTTCACTGAAGCTATGTCCTTTAATCTCAACTTTCGAACCTGACGACCCAAAATAGCCACTGGCTCCATATCATAGGTCAAATCATCATCCAACTGAACCGTGCTGAAGTCTAAAACATGAGACGGATCCCCAATATACTTCCGGAGCATAGAAACATGAAATACCGGATGCACACTCGATAAGCTGGGTGGCAAGGCAAGTATATAAGCCACCTCCCCAATCCTCCGAAGCACCTCAAAAGGCCCAATGAACCTCGGGCTCAACTTCCCTTTCTTTCCAAATCTCATAACACCCTTCATGGGTGAAACCTTTAGTAAAACCTTCTCACCAACCATGTAGGACACATCTCGAACCTTCCGGTCCGCATAACTCTTCTGTCGCAACTGCGCGGTACGAAGCCTCTCCTGAATCACCTTCACCTTCTCTAAAGCATCCTGAACCAAACCAGTCCCCAATAGCCTAGCCTCGCCGGGCTCGAACCAACCAACCGGAGATCTACACCGTCTCCTATACAAAGCCTCATATGGAGCCATCTGAATACTCGACTGGTAGCTGTTGTTGTAAGCAAACTCTGCAAGCGGTAGGAACTCATCCCATGAACCTCCAAAATCAATAACACAAGCACGCAACATGTCCTCCAATATCTGAATAGTACGCTCGGACTGCCCGTCCATCTGAGGATGAAACACTATGCTCAACTCCACCTGAGTACCCAACTCTCTCTGCATGGCTCTCCAAAACTGCAAAGTAAACTGAGTACCTCTATCGGAAATGATGGAAACCGGAACACCATGCAACCGAACAATCTCCCGGATATAAATCCCTGCCAACCGCTCTGAAGAATAGGTAGTACACACTGGAATGAAGTGCGCGAACTTGATCAGTCTGTCTACAATCACCCAAACAACATCGAACTTCTTCAAAGTCCGGGGAAGTCCAGCAACAAAATCCATAGTGATCCTCTCCCACTTCCACTCAAGAATAACCATCTGCTGAAACAAGCCACCCGGTCTCTGATGCTCATATTTCACCTGCTGACAATTGAGACACCGAGCTACAAACACCACAATATCTTTCTTCATTCTCCGCCACCAATAATGCTGTTTAAGATCCTGATACATCTTCGCGGACCCTGGATGAATGGAATACCGCGAACTATGGGCCTCCTCCAATATCAGCTCCCGAAGCCCATCCACATCGGGAACACAAATCCGGCCCTGCATCCTCAACACTCCATCATCACCAACGGTCACATCTCTAGCATCATCATGTTGAACTCTGTCCCTAAGGACAAGCAAATGCGGATCGTCATACTGGCGCTCTCTGATGTGATCATATAAAGAAGACCGAGATACTACACAAGCCAATACTCGACTGGGCTCAGAAATATCCAACCTCACAAACCGATTGGCCAAAGCCTGAACATCAATCGCAAGAGGCCTCTCCCCAACTGGAATATACGCCAAACTCTGCATACTCACTGCCTTTCGGCTCAAAGCATCAGCCACTACATTGGCCTTTCCCGAATGGTACAATATAGTGATATCATAATCCTTAAGCAACTCTAACCATCTCCGCTGCCTCAGATTAAGATCCTTTTGCTTGAACAAATGCTAAAGACTGCGATGATCAGTGAATACCTCACAAGATACGCCATACAAGTAATGCCTCCAAATCTTCAATGCATGATCTATAACAGCCAACTCTAAATCATGAACAGGGTAGTTCTTCTCGTGGGGCTTCAACTGACGAGAAGCATAAGAAATAACTCTACCCTCCTACATCAAAACACAACCAATCCCAACTCTCAAAGCATCACAATACACGGTATATGAACCTGAAGCTGATGGCAAAACCAATACTGGAGCTGTGGTCAAAGCTGTCTTGAGCTTCTGAAAGCTCTCCTCACACTCATCCGACCATACAAATGAAGCACCCTTCTGAGTCAATTTGGACAAGGGCGATGCGATATATGAGAATCCC